ATGTCAATGTCAATTTCTGCCAACCTCACCCCAACCATAAACAAAACTTCTCTCAGGCAGTCCTTCCCCTAAAACTTCAAGAAGGAAGAATCTAGCACATACGACTGTCAATGGAAACGGAAAAGATTCCAATTAAAGAATCTCATCAAAATCTCTCTGGCCTGGTAACAAGTACTACAAGATTTCTTGAAAGAAAAAAACAACAACAAAAACACAGAACTTCTGAGCTAGAAAGGGCTCAAGGGGTTCTAGGGCCACGTAATCCAGCCCACACCTGAAAAAAGAATCCCCACAACAACAGTCCTGACAAGTAGCGGGCCATCCTGCCCTGTACAACTTTAAAATACAGCATTTTAAGTTAATTTCTGTTAAATCTCAAGCTGGTCTGGGCCTCGAATATCACTCTCTTCAGACCATTTAAAATCTCGATACTGTCACCTCTCTGGTTAGTGGCTACTTTGGATTTTGCTTTATCTACACATCTGATAATCATGCCTATCTCCATCCAAGTCATTGATAAAAATGTAGAGAATCACGGAATGTACTCCATGTCCTTCCATTTTGACATGGAAAGAAGATAGAGTACTCTGGGAATAACTGTTCAATCAGCTCCAGACTCAGCCAACAGGAACATCAGCCCACCATTTACTACCTATTCCTCAGAGATACCACGGGATATCGATAAAAATCACCCGTGCCTACTGCAGTCCCTTGTTCTATCAATCCAGAGAGGACAAAGACCAGGAATGTGTGAATAAAGGGATTCCCTTACCAAATCATGCAAGTGCCTATAACTTCCACCAAGTCACGATGCTTCTCACTAATCTACTACTCCTACAAAAAAAAAAAAAGTGAGGTTAATTTGGGGTAGTTTTTCTTAATAAGCCCGTATTAGCTTCAAAAGATCACCACATTCTTTTCTAACAAGAACTCAAACTATACAGAAAGACCTAAAAAGCAAATGGAAAAAAGTTATTAAAATACCTAGATGACAAAAGTATTCAGCAGTGGACCTGGAATCAGGAAGATCTAAATTCAAATCCAGCCTCAGACACATACTAGCTATATAACCCAGGGCAAGTCGCTTAATCTCTGTTTGCTTCAGTTTCCTCATTTGTAAAATGGAGGTGATAGCACCTACCTCCCAGGGTTTTTATGAGGATAAAATAAGGTAATACTGGTAAAGCACTGTGCAAATCTTAAAGTGCTATGTAAAGCCTAGCTATTATTTTTATTATTAGAAATCAGATTAACTCATTAAGATGGCATATAAAGAAACAGCATGGCTATTTAGGGATCAGAAGGTAAACTAAAGTCATTCACTTATATTCACATAGTATGTGCTTAATAAATATTTGTTGACCGATACTCAAACATTTATTAAATCCCAGTGTGCAGGGCACCATGTTCCCTGCTTGGGTAGATACGTAGTTTGGATAAGAAAGTCCTTAACCTCACAGAACTCAGAGTATAGCAAGGAAATGAGATACGCATACAGATACCTATAATACAAGTAACATAAGTATATCAGGGGTACAAAATGATATGTGAGTTTAGAGGAGGAGAATCAGGAACGAGTTCCTGGTGGTTGCAAGATTTAAATTAGGCTTTAAAGAACAGGGAGAAACTCAACAGGTGGAGAAAGATGGTGGTGTGGGGTATTCCAAGCACAGGAACTAATGAGAGGCAGGAAAGTGCAGTTGGAAAAGTGAAAAGTCATTTGCTGACAGGATATGAACAGGCAGTTTTCAGAAGATGAAATCAAAGCTATCTATAGTCATAAGAAAAAATGCTCTCAATCACTACGGATTAGAGATATGCAAATTAAAATAACTCTGAGGTACCATCTCACATCTATCAGATTGGTCAACATGACAGAAAACAAAAATAATAAATGTTGAAGGGGATATTGGAAAATTGGGACACTAAAGTACTGTTGGTGAAGTTGTGAACTGATCCAACCTTTCTGGGGAGCAATTTGGAACTATGCCCAAAGGGCTATAAAACTATGGATACCTTTTGATCCAGCAATACTACCAGGTCTGTATCCCAAAGAGATTTAAAAAAAAAAAAAAAAAGGAAAAGGACCCATGTGTATAAAAATATTTATAGCAGCTCTGTACCAGAGCCAGCCCTGTTTATCAATTGGGGAATGGTTGGACAAGTTATGGTATATGATTGTGATGGAATACTATTGTGCTATAAGAAATAATGAGCAGGATGCTTTCAGAAAAACCAAGAAAGAATTACATGAACAGATGCAAAGTGAAGTGAGCAGAATCAGGAGAACATTGTACACAGTAACAGCAACACTGTAAGGATGTTTAACTGTGAATGACTCAGCTCTTCTCAGCAATACAGTGATCCAAGACAATTCCTAAGGACTTATGATGAAAAATGCTATCCACCGTCAAAGAAATGATGGAGTCTGAATGAAGATCAAAGCATACATTTTTCAACTTAATTTATTATTCTTTTTTTTTTTTTTGGTCTGTTTCTTTCAATATGACTAATAAGGAAATGTTTTACATGACTGCACATAGATAACTTTCTCAATGAGGGGGTTGAGGAGGGAGCAAGAGAATTTGGAACTCAAAAATTTTTTAAAACAAATGTTAAAAATTATCTTCATATGTAATTGGAAAAAATAATTTTAAAAAATAAAGCACCTCACAAATATTCTCACATTTGATCCTCACAACAACCCTGCAAGGTAGGTGCTGTTATTATTCCAATATTACAGTTGAGGCAACTGAGGCAAACAGAGGTTAAGTGACTTGCCTAAGTTTACACACTAGTGAGTATTTGAGGCCACATTTGAACTGGGTCTTCCTGATACTAGGAAAATGAAGGAAATCGGTAGATTTCTTCAGTTAGGAAATAATCAGAATAACTGGGTCATAATAAGATGGCACACAGATTCCTAGAGAGGCACAGATGTTCAGAAGATACAGAGAGAAATGAAAGGTAGTAGTCTTGTATACATAGTATATACACCTAAGTTTAGAGGCCCAGGAAACCTATCAGATGTCTGACGGAAGAGGAAAAACATGGCAATCTTATTCAAGGAATGTGTTAAGAGTTCGCCAGATCAAGGAAGAAAGGTGGAAAAATCCTTCCTAATGCAACTTAAAGCATCATGGTAGGATGTGAAAAACAACTAACAGCATTTTGGGAACATGGATTCTATCCCAGCTGTAAATAGTTAACACTAATGGCTGAGTGAACATAGGCAAAACCTTTCCTACTGCTGGGCCTCAGTTGTCTCTTCTGTAAAATGGGGGACCGGACTCAACCCATCCAGGTCTCACTTTCTGTGAACTCATCAGTGTGCCTTTAGATTAGGAGTTGGTAGTGATGGGGTAAATAACTACTAAGCTATATGCTGGAAGTAGTTTTGTTTTATAATAACGGAGTGACTAGGTTTTAAAGAGTGTGCTTGGGATAATTTTCTAGTACAGAGAAAATAAGTAGGATTCTGATTCAGTTTGCACTAAGAGGAAGTACTAAATTAAGAAAAAAAAGATAGATGGAAACATCTGGGCAGCAGCCACATGATAGCAGCTTTCAGATTCCTAGAAAGAAGACAGAAATGTGCAAACGTAAAAAAAAAAAAAAAAAGAACCTCAGAGCAACAAAAGTTTTCAAAAACTCAGGGCTTTAGGGCAAAACACAGAGGGGAAAATGCCTAAGAAACAAAATAATCCAAGTACACTTTGAAAGTTTTCAAAACTAGATAGCCCTATGGACATAGGAACAAACTCTAGTAGTATGCAGGCAGACTAACAAAATACTAAACTGGCCAAACCCTGAACAATGGGAATCTGAAGGCAAATAGGAAAGTCACAGAGAGTAGAAATTAGGCTAGATTACTAACTGGGTATTATGTGCTACCTGTTTAGAGATGAACTCAGAGCCAGATGGGAGACTAATAAATCACACAAACTGATGAGCTCCTACTAAGTGTCCAGCACAAATCAATTTTCTTTAAACAATCTCCAATCTAGAAGAGATCTTGGAGGGCCTCTGCGCCCCAACTTAACTGAGCAGAAATGATGTCAAACAACCAGCTTTTGAAAGAATACCTTGTAACTGTGTAATATGCCATCATCTTCACAACCATGATCTCATCTTAGCCTCACAACAAACCCTGAGATACAGGACAAGGAAGTGTATGACTGCAGTTTTACAGATGAGGAAACTGAAGTCAGAAAAGTTAACTGATCCTGTGTCCAGCACTCTTTCCACCAAATGAAGCTACCTCAACAAGGTGGCCTTGTAAGAGTAAATCTGACTAAATCCATTTATCCTCCTTTGGTCAATTCTACCTTTGGGTCTTCATATGCCCCTTTCCCTCCTGAGACTGGTATTCATTCTGTGCAGGCCCTCATCACCTCATGCCAACCTTTCTGCCTCAAGTCTCTCCCCAATCCAATCTGGCCTCTACTTAGCTGCTGAATTAACCTTCCTAAAACACAAGTCTTATCATGTCAGGCCCCCCCCCCCCCATTCAATAAACTCCAGGGGCTCCCTATTGCCTTTAGGATCAAATATATAAAATCTCTGTGAAATTAAAGAATTGGGTTGAATGCCCTCTGAGGCACCTCCCAACTCTGACATCTTGTATTCTTAGCTCGTCTTCATCTTGAATGATCTGAGATTCTAAATATGTAGAGCCACGTGAAGCCACGAAACAGTCAAATCCAGGATTAGGTAGAGAAAAGTTGTATGGTCAACAGTCCTTCATTCAAGTAATAGAGAAGAATGTGGAACACAGATAATGCAGAAATAATTTCTACTTGTCTTCTGCAATCATTTGGATTTTGTAGCAGCTTTACCTTTTTAGTTCGATTTGAGGGAGGCTGGGGAAGTGAGGTAGAAGTGTAAGTGACATTAAGGGGAAAATGAGCCCAGTTTTGAAAAGTAATCCACAGTGGGTTCCTTCTCATCCCCTAAGAGTAGACCATCTGACAACTAGGTTACTGGTTTCAACTCTTTACCTGCAACTCAGCTTCTAGGCCCAGGCGCCGGATGAATGGATCTGTGACATGGTAATGCCGCTCGAAGCTCAATGCACCCCGCTCCTAGAAAATGGAAACAAACCTAATGTTTTATCAATTCAGTTTAATGAGTCTTTCCTGGAGCATCTATTAAATACACAGCAGTGTGTTAAGTAGTACAGGAAACACAAAGCAAGACAATGAACTGCCCCTAAGGAGCTCACAATCTACTGGGGAAGAGAGCTGTTACGAGGTTCCAAGTAGTAACAGACACAAAAAAAAATCTTAAAATGTCTTTAAGTAGCTTAAAAAATTGCAGGTATTTCCCTCTTTTCTTTGCAGAGATGGAGAACTACAGGTATGGAATGCTGCTTCGGCATCCCACTGTCTGACTAAGCATAAGTGTTGGCTAGTTTGCTGTTGTACTTTTTTCCCTCTTTCTTTTTATGCTGTGTTACCAAGGACGGTCTGTTGGGTTAAAGAATGGATATATTTGGAAACAACATGATATAACAAAAGACATCAACGAAAACTCTAAAAAAAAAAAAAGAAAGAAAGAAAACACGCCAGGTATTATTACTAAAAGGTCAGCTAATATACAATCAAGTGATCATAAAAACAAAACAAAAAACCTCCTCATGTTGCTATAGCACCTCTGGGGTAGGTTGTACATTCCCATTTTACACATTAGGAAACTGAGGCCCAAAAGAGGCTATGTGAATTATTCATGGTCACACAACTGGTAAGAGTCAGAACCAGGTACTGACTATAAGTTCTACAGGTATTTGGAGAAGAGACTCAACGTAACCAAAATAACATGTACATTCAAAACCCAATTCTTACCCACATGTACAAGAATATTTATAGCAACTCTTTCTGTGGTGGCAAAGAATTGGAAATTGAGGGGATGCCCATCAATAGGGAAATGACTGAACAAGTTGTGGTATATGAATGCGATGGAATACTATTGTGCTATAAGAAATGATGAGGGCAGCTAGGTGGTACAGTGGATAGGGCTCCAGCCTTGGAGTCAGGAGGATCTGAGTTCAAATCTGACCTCAGACACTTGACACTTACTAGCTGTGTGACCCTGGGCAAGTCACTTAACCCCAACTGACTCGCCAAAAAGTAAAAAAAAAAAAAAAAAGAAATGATGAGCAGGCAGATTTCAGAAAAACCTGCAAAGACTTGTATGGACTGATGCTGAGTGAAATGAGCAGAACCAGAGAACATTATATACAGTAACAGCCACATTGTATGATGACTAACTTCGATAGACTTAGCTCTTCTCAGAGACATCTCCAGAAGTCTCATGATGGAAAATGCTATCCACATCCAGAGAAAGAATTACGGAGTTTGAATGCAG